AAAAAGTGTTACAATAATTATATTAACAGGGTTCGACTCAATATAGTTTCTAATCCCAAATCGTTTTACGCATTTGTGAACACAAAGCGTAAGACTAACGGTTATCCCTCAACATTGAAGTTAAATGACTTAGTTTCCAGTGACGAAAATATTATTGCCGATATGTTTGCTGGTTTCTTCGAGTCAAACTACTCTGCCAGTTCTACATCTTCCCAACTGAATTCGAATCTATCTAGCTACCCATTCGATCTGCCATCATTTGATTGTATCCGAATTCCATCGATATCTGCTGCGGACGTCCTCATTCATTTGAATTGTTTGAAAATTTCATATACAGCTGGCCCAGACGGTATACCCACAAGTGTTCTTAAAAGTTGTGCAGAGTATTTGTATAAGCCTCTGGCAAATATTTTTAATGCTTCCCTAAAACAGGGTGTCTTCCCATCTTCCTGGAAGGATTCGTTTATCTTGCCACTTTATAAAAATGGAAGTAGGACTAACATCGTAAACTATAGAGGAATTGCGAAGCTTTGTGCTATTGCTAAAGTTTTTGAGGCAATCGTTACGGAAGAACTATCTCACTCTATTACTTCTGCTATTGATCTATCGCAACACGGTTTTTGCAAAGGTAAATCAACTGTATCCAATCTTCTTGAATTCACTACTTATGTGTCTAATGGGTTTAAAAACAATCTTCGAACGGACGTGATTTACACTGATTTCAGCAAGGCATTTGACAAGGTATCTCATTCAACCCTTATATATAAACTTGATCGAATTGGCTTCCCTCCTATTCTTCTCAGCTGGCTTTCTTCTTACTTAGTGGATAGGAAACAAAGAGTAATTTTTAAAAATTGTACCTCCCGGCCAATACATGTCACATCCGGCGTACCTCAGGGCAGCCATATTGGTCCCGTCTTGTTTATTTTATTTATAAATGACCTTCCTAAGGTGTTGAATTACTCGAAATGCTTAATGTACGCTGATGATGTTAAGCTCTTTAAGTACATTAGTACTGCAGAAGATAGGGAGCATTTGCAAGCTGACCTAACCTGCATTTTCGAATGGTGTGAAGCAAATTCCATGTCACTAAATTTGAAAAAGTGTAAATTCATGACCTTCTCTAGAAAATCGTTCTATCCAAATTCGTATATGATATCTGACCACAATGTTGAGCAAGTGACCAATTTCATTGACCTAGGTGTAACTATGGATCCGAAACTAGAATTCAAGTCTCACATAAACTCCTGCGTGATTAGGGCTAGAGGATTGTTGGCTTTTCTTAAGCGCTGGGCCAAGGAGTTCAACGATCCTTATGTCACTAAAGTTCTCTTTACCTCTCTAGTTAGACCGATTCTGGAGTATGCATCTATAGTATGGAATCCTAGCTATCAAATTCATAGTGACAGGCTCGAATCAGTGCAGAAACAGTTCCTGTTATTTGCCCTCAAAAATTTATGTTGGGACTCGTCTAAAAATCTCCCACCCTACAAGGATCGCCTGAAGCTTATAGATTTGCCGACGCTTCAGAGTCGTAGAGAGATGCTTGGTGTTCTTTTTTTAATTAAATTAATGAACGGGATGGTCAGTAGTCCCTTTTTACTGAGTGAGATAAATTTTTGTATTCCTACAAGACCCACGAGACATTTTAAACCTATTGTGTTGAGTATTTGTAAATCAAACTTTGAAATGCATGATGCTTTTCGGTGTTTATGCCAAGATTTTAACAAGCATTATGATTGCATCGACATATCTGAATCGCTTTTTGTAATAAAGAAAACATTGCTCAACAAGTTAACTAAATAAACTAATATCTGCAACCGTGAACGGAAAAATTACACAATATCTATGACTGCTTAGTACAATTGTAACGGCTTCGTATATTTCCGCGACCGCGTAGGACAATAGGAGCAGGGATCGGAAACTCGGCCTTTCCGACCTCGCCCAACAGTTCGTCTATAGCGTGGAGCGGAAACTAGGACTTTCCGCCTGCCTCACTTACAAAGTAACGACTACGGGAACATGGATCGGAAGCTCGGCCTTTCCGACCATGATCAACGGCCTGTAAACAGGGCGGAGCGGAAACTAGGTCTTTCCGCCCGCCGCACACAAAAGTAGACTGGAGACAAGGCCTCGCCAGCTACCCAAATTGCTATTGAATATCATTGTTATCTTTACAAGTTAATATTTATAATTATTTCACTCTGTAATGTATCACACATACTTAAATATTCTAAATCTTTTTATCTCAACTGTCTGTAAGAAAACATTTTTCTGTAGACTAAATAAATAAATAAATAAATAAATAAATAAATAACTTTGAAGTTAAACTCCAGAAAGTTTGCCCTGGTTTAATTAAAAAGTTTCAAATATGAAAGCAGATGTTATGTACGGCGTAAGTCTATCGCTGTTCAAAAATTATCTGGGAATTGACCGTTGAGCTAAGTCAGTGGTGGAAAGATATTATACTTGGTGCATCATGCCAGCGGTGAAATGCAATATTGGCTAAGTTTTTCTCAAATACTAGGGTGTAGTTTTGGAAGTCTACCGGACACTAAAATTTTCTTCTATTTACATCGCCGATGAAAATGTGGAAAAAGTCGATAGTTCTTTGAAGCATTAAACCGCGTTTTGCTGACTATATATTTTAGACAAAATTATGTCGCTTGACCCTTGATTAAATAACAAAATACACAAAGGAATCAAATTTTTTTTTACTTATTTTAGTTATTACTCTTTAGATAGATGACAACTCAATTAAAAATACATATTTCTGAATCAAAGATTTTTTAATGCCTCTCGTTTGACACCAATATTGTATTTATCTTATCAATTTAATTTAATCAAATTTTTAAAATAGGTGGCAACCCACTTCAAAAATATTTTCGAATGAGAACTTTTTTACAGCTCTTTATTTTCATACCCATATTGTAATATGTTGTTTATCTTATTTATTTACTTAATTCAATTTTTTAAATAGGCGGAAACCCTCCTCAAAAATATTTTAGGCTGTAATCCTTCCTAAAGTTCTTTAGTTTGATACGCTTATATTTATTTTTATTTTTCTTTAACATTTTTTCAAATACATACAAATTTTCAAACAGGTGGTAACCCTCCTAAAAAAATTGTCTGCTGTCAGCCTTTTTAAACCTCTGTTGTTTGATATACACAAGGCGATATTTAATTTATCAGAACAACTTAATTAAATTTAATTTTTGAAAGAGGGGGCAAACCTCCTCGAGAGTATCTTCGGCTGTAAGCCTTCTTAAATTTTTTTTATTTTGGCACCCATTCTTACTTAATTGAATTTTAAACTGTTGGCAACTCTATAAGTTGTTTTTTTTTTATACCGTCCATTATAGCCAACAAACAAAAATCGTTCAAGACGCTTTCATAATTTTGCGTGCCGAACAACCGAACTTGAAATTTGTATATATTTGTATATAAGGGGGGTCGTTAAATGTAGGAAGGAAATTTTTACATCAGATTCCCTCCGTCGATGGTGCTATAGTCAAAGATATCAAATATAAATTTTGGCCCCGATTGGAGTCGGTTAAGGCGTGTCGCACAGGGGTCAAAGTTTAGATTTCCCTATGAAAACGTCTTAGCCGACTTCAATTGGGACCAAAATTTAAATGTGATAAATATCTTCGATTGTAGCAGTTTGAGTCTCCAAAAAGGCATCTAGCTCTTGACCCCTTTGATCCCTTTGCCTTCTTCGACTGTAGTAGTATCGATTTTGGGTATTAGATGAAAATAAATTAAATTTAATTTCTTGAGTCTCTATAGAGGAATCTGAACTTTGGCCCCTGTGCGAAACGCCTTAACTGTCTCCAATCGGGACCAAAATTTATACGTAGTATCTGTGACCGTGTTTTTACCGACTGAGCGGGTGAGACTGGAAAAAAAGTGTTCAGTTCATTGTTAATGACCACCCTAATGTATATAGATGCAAATAATTTCCTATATCTTACAATTGATTTGACCGATTGCAATAAAATGTACATGTATTTGACTATATTATTTATTATTCTTCATTATGTAATAAACTGCATATAACTACGCATTACAAAAATTTTAAAAATTCAATAAATTTTCAACAAATTTTCATTTTATTCAGAATTTTCAGAAAAATTTTACTACCATTAAATTATGGTAGAAGGAAGTGAAAGTTTCAGCTGACTTTTTTTCCGGTTTTCTTTCAAATAAAAATAAATTTTGTTTATTCGTTTTATGGAAACAAATGCGAAAAATTCAAAGGTAATTTTTAGCCGCCTAAAACTTCCACTTCATGTTACTAAAATTTAATGGGTTATAAAATTGCATACTTAAAATTTTTCTAAAAATCTGAGTAAAAAGTATGAAAGTATGATGTTATATTTCTCAATTTACAATGCATAGCGTATTATTTAACGGGATTACTTCTAATTTCGATTAATACCCTCGACCCGTTCGCCCTTTTAGCCGAAATTTCTCTCTGCTTTGCTAAACGTTTTCCAGCATACAACTTCGTTGAAATCCATTCATATGTATGTATCGAAAAGTTGGTAAAACTTTTCAAATTTAAACAAGCATATTCAAATACAGAGATAAAACATAATAATAATAGCTTTTACAGCATTTAGAATTTTTCGCTGCAAATGACTTGCCACCACATAACTACTACATTCATGTGTTATCTTTGAAAGTATCCACTTAGTTGCAATTATTCTGTTCCGGCTGCATTTGTAAGGTGTGAACATAAGTATTTATAAGTTAAACTTTTCAAATAAATACTCTACATATATATGCATTCGGCATTCGCATGAAACCACTTTTGCACTGCAGCCAGTTGAGCGTCAAAAAAACTTTCGGCAATAAATGCGCATATTATATATAGTATTTTCCTTCCGACTTACCACACATAAAAATGCATAAACTTTCATTTTAGTTGAAATAAATGTGAATTTGGTAATACTACTCGTACTAGTCATTCATATTATACAATTGTACATACATACATATATTTTTATAGAGCCAAATGTTAGCAAGCGTATGCGTGCTCGTTTCATCTCACCCACACACACACAAAATCTTTTACTCACTCAACTTGCACTAATACTCGTATCAAATAATCAACATACTTTGTTGTCTATTTTCATTGTAATTTGCTGCCATTTGACACAAACGCTACGAACTCAACAACTCGATTTGCACCTGCCGCATGATACCGATTGCCGCCGCCGCCGTCGCCGCGCGTATGCCAACTATGAAAACAACTCATGCATGTGCATGCATATGCATGTATGTATGTGAGCGCAGATATGGACCACACTTTGAGGATGTGCAACGCGTGGGACAGCCAACAAATATGACAGTGCAGGCGGGTAGCAGCATACATTTGAATTGCAGAATATCGCTGCTGCAAGATAAGACTGTAAGTTGTTCAAGTAGAAATAAGTGCAAGTATGTATAAGTTTTGGAAAAAAAAAATATCAAAAGCGTGATAAAAAAGTACTAAAAACTTATAGAAGTATACCATAGAGAGAGCTCACAAAATCGCTACACAAAAAAAAAAATAACGAGCAAACAAAAATTAAAGAATTTTCACCCGAAAAGTATGAAGTTGCCAATATTTGCCATGCGTGCATTGATTGCGCTCCCCTGGCGACTCTCCGCCACCTAACAGCTGCTGTGTGCAACTTGTGCTTGCTATACACAATTGCATTATAGTGCCACCGCTGCAACAGCTGCCCCTTGCCTCTCGCAAAGAAATAGTTGAATGTGCGTGCCAGGCAGGTAGCACTCAAAGTCTTTTCAAGTTGTAAGCCACATAAATGAATGAAATTCACAACTGTTTTTTCTGCGCATTCCTTTTATATTTTCCAAGGTTTTTTTTTTTTTTTTTTTTTTTGTTGTTGGAGCATAATTGAGGGTCTCCAGCGGCAGGCAGTCAAAGTGATGGCAGCATGAACACAGCAAAGTTTTTCTTGCCACAAATATTTCACTTTTTTAATACCCTTTTAACTGCTCTTGTTCGCCCATGCTTCTCTCCCGCTCCCTTGGATCACAATCAGCAATAACTCGTTGGAAAATGATGCAATGAAGACTCATTTCGTTGTTACACGGTGATTTAAATTCGACGGAAGAAGTTGTGGCAAGTTTGAGAGACAGCTTAATTCTATTGTTATAGTATTTTAAGCCCGCACTCTCCACATGTTTGATTCTCAATTGTTTTTTTTTTTTTTATTAGTGCTGCGCTCATTCACAGTATTATTTGCTTTGATAAAATGTTAGTGGTAGCAATAATGGTTTGCTTATAATCAAGTCATCAAATTGGTTTATTGGAATAAATATTATTATGACTATTTTATGATAGTCGAGAAGGTTTGCAAGAGATTCCTTTACGTTTCGGTTCTTGCAACTTCCACAGAAGCCGTTGTGGGCCATGACCGTCTCCTTATGATGTAAGGGCCAACCAACCAAGCCCAGCAGCAACCGCTCTAGGCTTTAAACGACAGGCTTAGGTTTTCCGAATGGCCCGTGAATATATATTTCGGGCATTAATGCGTTGTAAAGTTTGTGAAGATTAGCAAATAAGTTGAAATAATATTGAGCGAAAATTCTCATTACCCATGTTGGCTAGTTGGCTGGTTTAAGTGGATTGTCACCCTGGTGACTAGCAATTAGAGGCAACTGCACTCTGAAATATTATGCGGAAATGGTTTGCCGAGTGTCTTTAGCCTCATCCTTGCGAGGGATGGACACTCGTTCAGCAAGTGTTCGACTGTCTCTTTTGAGGCCGGGTCGTCGCAACTGCGGAAAAATTTATTGAAGGGCAGTCCTATCCTTTCGGCATGCACCCTAGGCATGTAGGCTGTGTTTGTAGGCATTTGTTTTTCTCATTCCTAAGAGAGCTTTGGTTTTAAGTGTGTCGAGTGATAAATTTCGGTAATTTTTGTCTTCATCTCCCTGAGCGAGGCGCCCATGCCCACCGCATGGGACACATTTGCAAGCGTCACCTATTGGACGAATTTTCAAATGAAATACTTCTTTTTACGTAGCTAATACATGTTCGGAATTTGAATCAAATTGGACAGCAACACCCATCGGAATAATTTTCTTATAAAATATTTCCTTTTACGTGAAACATACAAGCTCGGAAATTGGAATTTTTTTGTCATATGTACAAAAAATACCATTGCAAACATACCTGAGTAAATATATACATAAATAGCATTCACGTATAATGATATAAGAAATTTCATGAACCCCACGATTTAATTCTTTAGTCGGATCAATGCCCCAGGCTGATGAGGAGAGTGGTGTGTTGAATAGTACCTAGGTCTTATCTATTATCTTTCTTTTCAGTAATACTTTTTTAGTTAAAATTTGCTTTTTGGATTCACTTCCATTATGTCGCCCATCAGGGATTGAAATAGCATAGTAACTGAAATTGCGACATCATTAGAGTAGGTCGCTACTTTCACTCCCCACTGACTGAGCTTTAGTCGTACTGAGTTGATGGTGGTAAGCCATAAAGGAGGCGAGATCACTACGCCCTACTAACATTCCTCTTTACTATGCGGCTTCCCAGTCTTGCTGAAGTCATTTTGCTGTGCAGCGTCACCATTGATAGACCTTTCGGCACCAAAGCTCCTCCCAGAATTTGTGGATACCTTCTAGATGAGAACTGTTATACGCTGCTTCTATGTCAGGGAAGGCCACTAGAGTTTTATAATTGATGAAATCCAGAGCATAGTAGTAATCTTTGTCGCATTTCGCTTTATATTTCTTCAAAATATCTTTGTACAGTCTTCTAGATTTAGATTTGTACCAGCTGAACACTTCCATAGTTTTTTTTTCTTAGTATAAATGACACTCGATTTTGAGTTACACAAAGACAAAACGAAAAAAGCGCCCAAACAATGGGTCTTATACCATAGGATATGCATCGATCATAGTAATATTTGCAGCAGAAGTTATAGAAACGACAATGGATGGGAAAGTGTTAGGCACTTCCTCTTCAAATATTTGGCTTTACTGAACAACAAAAGCACCGCTTTGGGAGAGTTTCTGCGCAACTCTCTGCAAGGCCTGATCAGATAAAATTAAAACGAAGTCCTCAATTTAATAAATCACACTCATTCAAGCTCTCTGATATTAAAGCGACACTTAGTTGCGCCTAGGTCTTGGCATATTTATTTATAAGTAAACTTTCATTAAACATCACCAAGATAAACGTTGCTTATAACTAAACTCATTGAAGCAAAAGGGAACGTGGCCTTCAAGAACTTTTTGTTCATTGACGTAACCACCTGTATGTAAGGACTGCGTTCAACATTTACATATACATATATATGTATATGTATATATTCAAGTACGCAAGGATTTTAATAAATTTCAGTCTGCATGCAATTTGAGAAGAAGAATTGCCACTAGCACCTACACAAGTGCAAACATCTTGGTGGACATTTCCGCAATACTAGTTGAATACGTGCATCACCTTTACTTACTTACATACACACATACATACATACATACGTATGTATAGGTGCGTGGGTGTTCATGGCACTTTTATTTTGCACTCCATTGCACTTCAACTGAAGCTCGCATGCTAAAATATGCGCTTCATTTTTCTACTCTTCTTTGTAACTTCTCAATTATGCATGCGACAACAAAGCTCTGCAGCAGCAGCAGCAGCAGCAGCGCTACAATATAAATGAAAAGAAAGTACGCTACGTGTTGTTGTAGTAATGAAATACCCTATTAAAAGCACTACACTACACTACACGTAGCAGAGTTAGTGATGGTGATGAAGTAGAAATGTACCCGCCAGCAAGCAAACGCGTGGTTGAACAACCAGTGCACACATTCATGGCCAAGTCTGCAGGTACATAGTAGCTGCATTAAGTACTTTCTATAGTATATTTTTTATACATAATATTAACTATCATTGCACCCACTATCACAAGCTCTTCCCTTTTTTATGAATATTAAACTAATACCCTGTTTATTATACTTTACTCTCCCTATGCTGCCTAGGTGTCCTGGGTGCGTCGCAATGCACAGGGCGAAAATGCATTGGATTTGCTGACGGTCGGTCTGCACACCTACACCGGTGACAAACGCTATAAAATGGAGTTTCAATATCCGAATAATTGGCGCCTGAAAATAACGAATGTAAAAAAGGACGATGAAGCGATGTATGAGTGTCAGATATCGACACATCCGCCGCGAGTGATACAAATTAATCTGTTCGTTAATGGTGAGTATGGATGACGTGTGGCTAAGTGAGCGCAGTGCTTTCCTGTGGCTCAACGCAATCATAAAGTGATAATGTAATGAGCTGATGATGTGGCATTACATAGTTACTTGATGTGATGTGCGACATGATAAGAGAAAATTGTATGTATGGTGGCAGGACATAATGTGTTACAGTAAAGGAACTGAATGCAAAGGGGTTTCATACAAGCATTTTTAAAAGCTTGTGCTCGATTGTCACAGCCGATTTCACAGCTGCATTAAATACCTTTAGTTTTACAGGGCAGCTCTGGCAACTGTCTTTCAACACACCACACTCCTTCTAAATACAAAAGTAAATTTTAGCAATTATCTTGAATCCTCTTTTTCCCCATTTTTGAAAGACTAAAATATGTATCTGCTAACAAGGAGGTCCTAGCGTTATTCTGTTTTTCTTTTAACAATCACTTTTCTAAAAATTAAATGAAATTGCAAATATATATGGGGCATTCCCTCCATTTTTGGTTTGATTCAAACAATTCGAAACCTTCTGGAAAATTTCGTTTTAAGGGTATATTTTTCAATGCTTTTAGGCGCTTAAACAAATTCAAGATGGCGGTTTAAATAGCGTCTAAACTACCTGCAATTTAGATTTTGTTTTAGTTCTTCTGTGTCTCTGGAGAATCCAACACTAAAAAATAAAAGATTATAGTGGCTTTTTATGTTTTTAGGATTTCTGATCTAATGATTTTAAGAATTCAAAATGGCGTCCACAAAAATTAAAATCGAACCGATTCGCTTGAAATGTTTTCCTCGGGTCGCTTATTACGAATCTGAAGATTGGAGACATTTTTTTTTTAATTTTAAAATAATAAGTTCCTTAAAATTAAATTGAATCGATTTTTTTTCTTCTTTTAATAATATAATCTAGAATTTCCAAAAAAAAAAATTTTGAAAAAGAAGAAAAATATAGGTATCTATCTAAAAATTAAGCGAAATTACAAAAAAAAATTCTTCACAACCAAAAAAAGAAAATTTAATTAAAAACAAAATAAATAAAGATAAAAAAAAATCGAAAAGCTAAATAAAATAAAATAAAAATATTTTTCATATTTTTCTTTCTAAAGCAATAAAATCTAAAAATCGGATTAAAAAGAAAACACATAAGAACTAACAAAAGCTTCTAAAATTTAAATGTATCTAATTAAAAAAATATAATTTTTTTTCTCAACGATAACAATATAAAAAGATGTTAAAATTAAAAGATAATTAAATAAAACCAAAATTTTTAAGATAAAATAAGTTTATAAAAACTAAAGGAAACTTAGATAAAATATTTTACTTTTTAAAATAATATAATTTAAACACTACATAAAAATGTATTTAAATAATGGAATTAAAGAGATAAAAACGCATTCCTCAAAAACCTAGAAACAAAAGTGAAACGAAAATAAATAAATAAATAAAAATAAAAAAATTTGACATTTATTATTTAGAGAAGGAAAAATTGTGAATCTCTGCTTTTGAATCTTTTAGTCATTGAAAAAAAGCTTTTTTTTTGGTTTTTTCCAAATTTTTCTTAAGATTTTATCAGAAGTTTTTTTGGAATTCGTTCGGACTTTTTTCTAGAGGTTTGAAGAATTTCAAGGATTTTTTCAAGACTTTTTAGGACTCTGAGATTTTTTCAGAAATTTATTTAGAGTTTTTTTATTATTTCTCCGGGACTTCGAGATAGGGCCTTTCTACATATATATGTATATCAAAGTAGTGACATAATCCAAAGAATATCAATTTTGAGTTGACTATACAGAAAATACCGCTAGCTCTTTTTCTATGCTTTGTAAAAACTCATTTCATAGCTGCATAGATTACCTGTATCTCGTTTGAACAAAATATGTATTCATTTCTGCTATGGGAGCATATGTATGTAAATTCAAAACTTTAAAGCCGTTTTTCTCCAGTTTCTCTATTCTGAGTTATCACACTATTGAAGTAAATGGGCGATATGTACATATAAGTAGAATGCTTGACTTTTTTTTTGGGGACGGGGAAATGGGTTAAGTCTTCCTCTTTGCATTTTTTTCAGCTATTGATAAAAATATTTTTTTTTTTTAGATTTTTCGAAATTTATATTAAGATTTTATTAGGAGTTATTTAGGATTTTTCGGAATTTTTTCTCTAGGTTTTAAGAAATTGAGAAGTTTTTTCGAGACTTTTAAGAACGCTTCGAGATTTTTTTTTAGAACTATATTTGGTTTTTTTTTTCATTCATGTATTTCTTCGGTACTTTTCGGAGATTTTCAGCATTTGTTCCTGGATAAAAAAAGTTTTTTATTAAAAGTTTCGGGATTTTTTCGGTACTTTTCGTAGTACATTTTCAGGAGTTTCTTTGATATTTTTTTTAGTTTTTTGTAATTTCTTCGGGACTTTTTCGAACTTCTCCGAGGTCTTCGCGTTTTTTCGGGATTTTTTCGGAACTTATCCGCACCTGCCATTAATTATTATTTTTTTTAATGCACGTAATTCCATTTCCTCGACTGTATAGGCTTGTGGGTGTGTGTGGGATTTGTGTGTGGGCTGATATCTCAAAGTAATACGAGTAAGTGGTAAATGTTGATAAGTGCCACGACATCACAACACAGCATGTCATTAAATCGTATAGTGTTGACTGACACTTTTCTCTGCTTGTTGCTGCCGCTGTGGTGGTTGTAGCTTTTTTTTGAACGATGACTATTACTTTTGCTGAATTGAATGATTTAAACGATTCTGGTATGCATGTAAGTGCGCTCACGCTGATAAATATGCGATTTAATGGCATGTAGTCATAAGTTACATAAACAACCACATGTTTCCAAAAAAATATATATACAAATATTTAAGTGCAATTGCGCTTTATGCTCTCGCCCTCACTAACAACCCAAAAATAATTATTTTGCATTTTACATACAACTTTATTTACACCCGCAACGAAGTGATTTAGAAAAGTGTGTAAGAGGGCTGCCAGTTGCAAACCGAGTGTGCTGTGTAGGGTATACATACATATGTATAACTATTAACGATTCTATACTTACTTGTAAACACATTTGATTACATCACTTTGTACTTACTTTTATTTCATGTTTGCTTTACTTTTTCTTCTTTCTCTTTCTCTTTTTCTTTTTTTGTGTCCACATATTTTCCGCATCCGTAAATCGCTTAGCACCCAAAGTGATGATTGTTGACGAGTTCGGTGATCCACTACAGGAAAAATATTACGAAATCGATTCAACGTTGCAGCTGTCATGTGTCGTCCGCAATGTCGCCATGGCCACATCGGTCGTGTTCTGGAAGCATGGCGATGATATACTCAACTATGATGTGACGCGCGGCGGTATCAGGTATGTACAAACGAACATACATGTGCACAAACGTTTGTAAATACATGCATTGCCAAAAATAAGTTGCGGTTTATAAAATCTATTATATTTCAAGACCTCTGCCAAAATTTTTAAATTAATGTGAGCTAGACTGATTTGAAAACACCGTGCGATAGTAAAAAAATTTTATATATTCGCGAAATCATGAGGATCAGGATTTTTTTTTGAAGGACCTTGAAATTTGAAAAATATAATTACTTCAAAAAAATATTAAAAAAACTTAGTGCAATGCAGCAAAACAGTATGACTATCAAATCAAAGAGAAAATTCTGCAGAATTAAGGCCGATTAAATTTTTTGGTTTATATGGACGATTAGGTATTGAAAATGTCCTTTGCTGCACATTTTATCATTGAATATTCTCAAAATTTTAGAATAATTATTTTCGAAAAAATTATATGTTAAGGACTTATATGCACTCGACCACATCCTTTTCCTTATAGCTTTATTCACTTAAAAAAAAAAATAAAACTAGTTAGAAGGGTTTTTTCAATACCTATTCGCCCTTGTATACCAAAAAAATTTTACTTTTTTTAATTCTACAGAATTTTTTCTTTCATTTGCTGCCCATACTGTTTTTCTACATTGGAATGCATTTTTTAAATAATTTTTGGAATCGATCATATCTTTGAAACTACAAAGTCCTTTTAAAAAATCCTCACGTCAGAGAGAAAAAACTGAAAACGCCTTTTAATTATATTTGGCACACAGTTTCGTGACTATATATTGATTGCTTCATGTGTTTAGAATTTTTTTTGTGTTTGTCGCACGGTGAACTACCTCCGATAATCTCAGTACATATTTTAATCCATCTGATTTCATTAATAGAATTTTTAAACATTTTTATGCAGACCTCTTACGCTTAAACTCCTCTTTGATCTGAGCTGATTTTTTAGAGAAAATGTTTTTAAAACCTAACTTTTTTGTAACTCGATTTTTGGAGATATTTTCAAATAGGTCCAGCTCACGTAAATTATAAAATATCTTTTCCGAAATACTCTGGCGGCAGGGACCTAACATAATAGTTATTGATGAAAACTGTCATGGAAAAATTCTCTATGAAGAAAATGTTCTTAAACTAAGCGGTGCATACCAATAGATTTCTTTTTTTACCCAGACTCAAGTTTTAAAATTAGTTTTTTTTAGCAATTTTTATGAAAAATTAAAAAAAAAAATAATAATTATTATTATTGATTTTTTATATTATAAACCCAAAATAACAACTATTTTTTATTTTTATATTATATGTCATAGATAAGAGTTATTGAAGACTTTTATCTATAAAAGTTATCAATAAAAATCAGTCAGTGACTTTTACTTTTAACAGTCATCAATATAAATCAGTCACCGACCCATTTAAATTTTTTAAATCATTCGTATAAAAGTCATTAACATATTTTGCAGTTAAGCAGATGTTGGGGAAACAAAAGTTTACTACGACTTATACGCATGACTTTTATAAGTATGATTTAAAAAATAAATCTCAGTGACTCATATTTATATATATCTTTTATAAAAAAAGGCTTTGATAATTGTTATCTGAGACATATAATTTAAAAATCAAAAATAACTGTTATTTGCAGATTATTTAGATAAAAATCAAAGATAATTGTTATTTTGAAATTATAAAATAAATGTCAGAAATAACGAATGTTTAAGGAGTAAAAAAATAATTGTTAAAGAGCGATTTTTTAAATAAAAGTTGCAACTGCTACGGTCCCTGTTTGGCGGAAGTCCTAAAATATAATGAATTATATATTTCCGTTGGAAAAAAGTGAGCTTTTTTTTATTTGTATAGAGAATGATGCACCCTAATGTACATATGCACATACTGCATAGAAAACATGTGCAGTTGTTTGAGAGAAATGCATATCCTACGTGCATCCTGTGTATTTTACTCCTCCCCCTGCCTCAAACACTTACCGACCTGTCTGTCTCAGCTGTTGTCTGCCATGTGCAATGTTACACTTATTTCACATCACTCTTGGGTGTACCACTGGTGGCGCAACAACATTTTATTATTAAAATTAAAATTTACAAAGCACGTCTTAATGAGATGAGTTGTGTACACCAATGTGTGTACATATGTACATGTGTGCGCCACACAGAGATAGAGAGAGAGATTGAATGAATGAAAGTGTCATGTGAGATTGTTTTTGTTGCCCTTTGCTTTAGTTTTCTGCTGGATTTGAGTTTAAAATGTCACAGAAAATACACATACATATCTACAAATAAAAATGTACTTATGTATGTAAACTCGTGATGTATGCACACTTTATATCAGTCCTTGCCATTTCGCCTGCACACAAACTCCATTAAATTACAAGCCCTTGCATTTATTTACATACATACATACTACTATGTATATATGTTTGCTTACAGTCTTTCATTTGCATGTACATATGTAAGTACATATTTACTTAACACACTGCATTTTAATTTTCTCGTTTAAAGTCAAAAATAAAAATATGAAAAGAGAATCAACCATAAGCCGACCGCCCGCCCGCCCGCTCCTTGATTGCAGACGCCATCAAATTACCACCGTGTAATAAGTTATTCAGGAAGAACAAAAAAGGCACTTCAACTTACTTTGTTTTTCTTGTTGAAGTGGAAACAGTTAAGAAGCAGTAAATATGCGTATTCTTAATATTATTCTTATCAAGAGCGATTAAGCGGACGTTGACTTACAAGCTTACCCAATGCGGTTGAAGAGAAATTCATCACACATGTGTAGGTGGTCTTGGAGTAAGTAGCACTCACTAGAGAGATGCTGCTTCTTAAATTTGGTTTAGTGGGAAATGTTGGCATAGGGTTGCCATAAGCCTGAACCCATCGACCAGGACACTTATCATCCAAATCAAAAACGAAGATACAAGTGAATATGGCGCCAATATATTCCTCATGAGTACAGTTGATTTGGTTCTGGCGTTGCATTATTTTGAAGAAATTTCTGATATTATAAGCAATGTATGTAGTTGAGTGGCATCATTGATGATGATGTGTTGTATGAAAAACTGTGACGTAGCTTGGAAAAACCTTTAACTTGGTATTTAATGCTTGCCTTATCAGCATTATTAAATTTCTACATATCCTACAATGCGCTTTATGATCACTTTTTCAATTTTGTATACACATAACTAAAAGATAATTAGGTAGGCAGATAAAAGACTTAACAAATAAGGAGTGAAAAAGTACGTTATTGCATGCCTCCTAGCAATTTACGCGAATGCACTTAAGTATGGGACTTACATCTTTTCAACATTTGCCTGAAGATAAACAAATCAAGAAGGTAATCTCGCCAGATATTTTTCAATGCGTTAGAGAAAACTTTTCGTTATCGAATACTTATAACAGAAAGCTTAATCTCTTTTCGTAGAAAAAATTGTCAAAAATTAAATGGATTGACCTTCGTTAATAGACCAGGAAAATTTAAGTTTGGAACAGGACACCAGGACAATTTGTCTAAAAGCAAGACAAGTCCTGGAAAACTAGGACAATCTGGCAGTCCTATGTTAGCATTCATTCGGAATTAGTACAAAATTAACCCTCAAACACATTTTTAGTTTAGACTTATGGCAGGCATTCAAGATCATAGATAAATGGACACTTTAAATTACCAGTAAAATTTTACTGACTACTGAAAAATAGCAGTAAGCAGCAAAAAAAAGTTATATATATATTAAACTTTGGAGCCTTTGATGCAGAAATACTTCTGATATAATGTTTAATATTCTGCAAAAAAAATCTTGCTAACATCTTCAGTAGTTTCCACGTGAGAAGAGAATATACAACTCGATTTTCATACGTTTGAGTGCAAATTGAAAACTTAAAAAGCGTCTCCTGAAAAAAATTTGGTCTGGCAGTTTTTTAATATAAAGAAAATTTGTTAAATTTTTCTAAGCTCTCTATAAAGTTTAAAATTTTGATTTATATCGTTCTGGTTAATACTATGTCTCCATTGAGAGATTTACCTATTAAGATTTAATGAATCCAGTTGCTAAATCTTAACCGTCTCCATTGTCACAACGAGATATGTTTGACGTTCACATTTTTTACTATTTGATGTTTGATTATGTATGATTTTATAAATACAGTTGCGGACATTGAAATGAACACAGAGAAAAATAAGGTACCAGGAGCGGAATTGCATTATGTGAATTCTTAATATTAGGCGTGTTTTTTTTACAGCGACAAACTTCATGTGCGCTGTTTTGAAATGGACATTGTCGATGATTATTTTTCTTACACGTTAAGCGTAGATGTATATGGCTTCTTATTCGAGGTAATTAAGAATAATATGTAGTTTGTAAAATTTTACGAATGGTACTATATTCCGAATCATTTTTACGAATTTAAGAAAAACTATCAAAACGGTAAAGAACAACATTTGCTGAAGGAAAAATTTTTTAAATATATTTTCTGAATTTGTTGTTTTTAAGATAATATCTTCTTGATTTATTAAAACAAAAGTTATGTAAATACTAATAATTTGCCTCTAAAACTAACCAAAATATAAAAACACCCTTAAAAATACGAAAATACATGTTTTTTTTTTTAATCGGCTAGATTTCGATGTCCGCAACTGCACATTGAAAATACAAATGTCATTTGACTTATGGCATGCGAATATGTGGTTGCCACACCCAACGAATTGTATTTATTGATAAATAATATTGAAGATTTTCCGAAGTTTTAACTTAAATCTACTGCCTTTCGAGATTTAATTTTATATGGCAAATCTCGAAAGATTTAACGTTATACCTCGTCAAAGGGCTAAATTTTCATTAAATCTCACAATGGAGAAAAAAAAAATTTTATGAAAAATAACAAACGAATTTTTGCTTTGAAAACCTTGCAACTATTTAACAAAAATCACCATTTGCTCATGTCTGCTCCCCACTGTTCCAAATTCTGCACTGGAAACTCTTTATCATTAATGCATTTGCCCCAAAAAGAGCTGTG